GCTTATTGGCCAGAGTTTCCTATACTAAACAATATTCTTATTTTTTTAAAAGTTATTTTCTGAAAGGTAAGGAAAGTGTAGAGATTATACCTACTTTGGATTTCTTTACCATCACATGAATTTGCATAAAAGTAATCATTAGGCTGGGCATGGTGGCTCATACTTGCAATCCTAGCACTTTGGGAGTCTGCGGCGGGTGGATCACTAGGTCAGGAGTTCGAGACAAGCCTGACCAACATGGTGAAACCCCGTCTCTACTAAAATTACAAAAAAACTTAACCAGGTGTGGTGGCTCACGCTTGTAATCCCAGCTACTCAGGAGGCTGAAACAGGAGGCGGAGGATGCGGTGAGCCAAGATTGTACTATTGCACTTCAGCCTGGGTGACAGAGCGAGACTCCGTTTCTAAATAAATAAATGTAATCATTCGTTGTCTGTCTTTGAGATTTTCATATGTGAGATATTTGTGTCTATGTTTGGAAGAGATTGAACTTAAATCTTTTTTTTTTTTTTTTTTCTGTAATTAAAAACCCAGACCCTTTATTATGAGGCTTCTACATTCTTTCTTACTGACTGTTATTTAAAGTCAAGGGCTGAAGCTGGTGCCCATGTAGATTTCAGGGGAAAGTTTCTTAAAGGGATGCTCTAGGAAGAAACCATTCACTAATTAATTCTGATTATTCATTTTGCTGATGATAATGAAATTAAGAATTGGGCTGGTAAATGTCTTGCTGAGCACTTAGAAAGGAAATAGGAGGCTGAATATTCAGAAAAAAATCAGGACATGGTGCTCCTGAGAAGCAGTGTGAAGGAATAACAAGAAAATGGTTTTCGGAGTCAGATAAGACTGTAACCTAAACTCGTTCCTCTACCTCTCTGCTTCATTCCACTCACCGCTAAAACTGTGGCAGCAGTGCTTTATTTTAGTGAGTGCCGTGGGCTTCAGATATATTGTATGAAAATGCATGGTGCCTTGTAGCCACACAATGAATGGCAGTCTTTTTCAGTCTGATGAGTAAGCAGGTAGATGAGGAGACTGCTCCGGGTGCAATGCACATCCATTTCCCAATAAGGCACTGCACAGGTATGCTCACACTAGCCTTTGCACAAAGCAGAAGCATGACGTGAAATTATAGCAGGTGACATTACTGCATCCACAAATTCTTTCTGGATAGATCACCAACCACTTGAAGAGTGGTTTCTGTGGCATGCCAGAGGGCCCTGTCATTGGTTCACTTCCATTCAGTGCTTTTATCATGACTTGGAAAAGAAACATTGGGAGGGATAGGTAATATTTTTTAACAAAGAGCTGGATGTGGTGGCTTGTGCCCATAATCCCAGCTACGTGGAAAACTGAGGCAGGAGGATCACCTGACGCCAGGAGTTTGAGACCAGCCTGAGCAACAGAGAGAGAACTTGTATGTGTCTAAAAACAAAACAAAACAAAAACAAGTCAGAATATAAAAGTTTTCAACAGACTAGTAGGGAGAAATCTACAGAAAAAACATCGATTCCTGCTAATCAGGAAAATCAAATTTAATGAACAATGAGAAAGTGTGTATATATTCATGTGTGTATGTGTGTGTGTATGTGTGCGGGGTGTGTGTGTGTGTGTGTGTGTGTGTGTGTGTGTAGCGCTAGTCTAGATTAAGAAAGAATTGAGACACAACAATCTGATGTAATATGTGATCACAGACTGGATCCTGACTCAAAGAGCAATGATGACTATTACAGGCATTTTGAGGACAATTAGAGATACCAGAATATAAACAGGGTATTAAATAATGTTATGGAATTATTTTTAATTTTTAAAAGTATGTTCAAAGAGTATCATGATTATATAAAATAACACCCACATTTTCTTGGGTAAAATGTCAAAATGTGTGCATATATATCACTGAGATGTCATAATGTCTGTGTATTTATATAGATGAACAATTTAAAAGTGAAACCTATGTATATGCATGTGTGCATATGTGTGTTTATAATGAAGACGAAGAAAAATCTCTAGAACTGAAGGACACAAATTTGTGTAATTAAATGGCCCACCCAAAACAGAAACCCACATTAATGTGGATTATAATGAAGTATTAGAGTACTAGCATTAAAAAAGTCCTACAAATTACTAGAGAGAAAATACAGGTTGCATGCAAAGCATGAAAAATGAGAATGGCTTAAGAAATCTCAACAGTGACACAGGAACTAGAAAATAGTTCTGAGTAAAAATGAACTATTTACCCAGCCAAACTGTTCATTAGGTATAAAGGTAGAGTTAAGACATGTATAGACATGCAAGATATGAAAAGGCTACTGAGTCAATTGATTTTCAACAGGGGTGTCAATGGAGAAATACGTTCTTTTCCACAAATGGTGGGGGGACAAATGGAGAACCACATGCAAAAGAACATAAATATAAGAGCTAAAACCATAATACTTTTAGAAGAAAATACAGAGTTCATTTTCATGACCTTGAATTTAACAAAGGATTCTTGGACATGGCACCAAGAGCGCATGCAACAAAAGAAAAATTGGAATGGTATCAGCAATACGGTGGAACAGGAGGTCTTCAGCTTGCATCCTCTGTCTCTTCAACACAAACAACAATTTATCAGCCATTCACGGACAAAAGTGCCTTGTGGGATCTCTAGGATCCAGGAAGGAGGTTACGAAACCCCGGTAAAGCTCAAGACTGAGGAGAGGTACTTTGAGAAAGCAGACCTGCACTCCAATAGCAGGCTTGCTGAATATGGTCTTAGCTATACACCACAACAGCTCCATCCCCCTAAGAGGTTGGCTCCAGCTCCACTTGGCTGCAGACCTGCAACCAGCTCCATCTAATAAGGGACCCAGAATAAGCCATGCCTGTCTGTGCCCCCAGTAACAGACCTGCTGCCCATGTGGATCCTGAAGCAGGCCTGTGACCAGCTCCAGCCCCACTCTACCATCGTCCTGAGGACCTGAGTCAGTCTTGCCTGCTCAGGAATGCAGTGACACCTGTCTGTGTCCCTGGGAGTAGGCCTGATGACTTCAGTCCTGACTGGATCTTGATGCAGCCCTATGGTCCAGCTCCAGATCCACTCAATGGTGGTCTGGAGGCAAGCCTGACTGCCCAGGGACTGTAAGAGCACCCTATACCCTTCAGCACCTCTGGTAACAAGACTGCTGACCTTGCTCCTGACTGTAGTCATGAAGCAGCCCTGTGACTGAGCTCCATCTCTGCTCTGCCACAGTTCCAGGGGCACCCTACCAGGTGGGAGCCCACTCAGGGACTCAGCAGGAGTCATACCTGTCTATTCTGATAACAGGCCCACCAACTGTGGACTCAACTGCAGACCAAGAAGCATCTCCGTAACTTGGCTTCAGCCTTACTTTTTCATGGTCTCAGAGTCAGTTCCATGCACCTGGGGATTCAGCAGTAACCATGCCTGCCTGCCTGCACCCTCCAGTAACAAGTGGATCCAACTAAAAACCTTGTAGCATCCATGTGACCTGACTCCAATCTCATTCAATTACAATCCTGGAGGCAGTCTCATCAGTCTGAGGACATGGCAGGGGGGTTTTACCCGCTGAAATCAGTATGTAAAGACAGGAAGAAGTATTTGCTCCTTCAGATGAACAGACATCAACACAAGCCTATATGGATCATGAAGAAGCAGGCAAACATGGCACCACCAAAAGTAACTAATAGAGTTCTAGTAACTGATCTGAAGGAAATGGAGATATATAAACTGTATGACAAATAATTCAAAATAATCATTTTTCAAGGAAACTCAGCTACAAGAGAACAAGAACAGATAAATCTACACAAATCAGAAAAACAATTCATAAACAAAATTAGAATTTCAACAAAAGGTTAGAAATCATATAACAAAAACTAAACAGAAATTCTGAAGCTGCAGGATGCAATGAATGAAATGGAAAAAAATGCAACAGAGAGCTTCCACAGCAGGCTTTATCAAACACGAAAAAATTTGTAAATTTGAAGACAGGTCAATAAAATTATCCAGTCAGATGATAAAAAGAAAAAAAATGAAAAAAAGGAAGAAAGCCAACAAGATTTATGTGACATTATAAAGGGAAATAATATACTTATTATGGAAGTCCTAGAAGGAAAGAGAGAGAGAAATAGAAACCTTATTTAAAGAAATAATGCCTGAAAACTTCCAAAACCTTGCAAGGAATATGGACATTAGGTATTTCAAGCTCAAAAATCCCTAAAGAAGATCAACCCAAATAAAATTATACCAAAACACATTATAATTAAATTGGCAAAAGTCAAAGGCAAAGAGTAAATTTAGAAAGCAGCAAAAGAAAAGTGACTCATCACATATAAGCTGCTCTCCCCCTCATAAGCTATTAGCAAATTTTTCAGCATTAACTTTGTACGATAGGAGAGAATGGGGTGTTACAAAGTACTGAAAGAATAAAATTGTCAGCCAAGAATGCTACACACAAAAAGTCTGTCCTTTAGAAAGGGAGATAAAGGTTTTCTCAGACAAACAATCACTGGGTGTGTTCATCACTGCTAGAATTACCTCCCTTAAAAGAAATGCAAAGGCTGGATATGATGGCTCATGCCAGTAATCCCAGCACTTTGGGAGACCGAGGTGGGCAGGTCATCTGAGGTAGGGAGTTTGAGACCAGCCTGAATAACATGGAGAAACCCCGTCTCTACTAAGTAAATACAAAAATTAGCTGGGCATGGTTGCACATGCCTGTAATCCCAGCTACTCTGGAGGCTGAGGCAGGAGAATTGCTTGAACTGGGGAGGTGAAAGTTGCAGTGAGCCAAGATTGTGCCACTGCACTCCAGCCTGGGCAACAAGAGCAAAACTCCGTCTTAAAAGAAAAAAAAAGAAATACCAAAAGGAATTCTTCAAGTTGAAACAAAAGCTAACTAGTAACATGTAAATACATGAAAACAGAAAGCTTACTGGCAAATGTAAGCATATGGTAAAATTCAAAATAGTCTAATAGTGTAATAGTGGTATATATATTTCACTTTTAACTTTACTATATGAAAAAGTATTAAAAATAAGTATAGGTATAATATTGCATTAATGGATACACAGTATAAAGAGATGTAAATTGTGACATCGATAAAAAAATGAGATGAAGGAGAAATATAGTTTTTGTATGACATTTAAGTTAAATTGTTATCAATTTAAAATAGATTGTTACAACTATAAAATGTTTATTGTAAGCCTCCTGATAACCAAAAGAAAAAACACCTCTAGTAAATATACAAAAGATAAAAAGAAAGGAATCAAAGAATACCACCCCAAAAAATTATCAAATTACAAAAGACAACAGAAAAACAGGAAGAAAGGAACAAAGGAATTAGGCATAAGTCAGAAAAACAAACAAAATGACAAAATGAAATTCTTACCTATCAATAATTACTTTAATGTAAATGGATTAAATTCTCCAATCAAAAGACATACAGTAGTTGAATAGGATAAAAACTAAGATCCAGCAACATGCTGCCTACAAGAGACTCACTTCAACTTTAAGGACACACCTTGGTTGAAAATGAAAAGATAGAAAAAGATATTCTACGCAAATGATAACAAAAAGAGAACAGGAATGGCTATAATTATATCCAACAAAATGGACTTTAAAAAACTGTTACAAGAGACAAAGATGGTCATTACATAATGATAAAAGGGACAATTCATCAGGAAGATATACCAATTACAAGTATATATTCATGTAACATCCAAGTGGATCTAAATATATAAAGCAAACATTGACAGACCTAAAGAGAGAAATAGACATCAATACAATAATAGTAGGTGACTTCAGTACAGTACCCTTTATAATGGATAGATCATCCAGACAGAAAAGCAGTAACAGCAGAGCTAACAGCACTAAAGACAAAACGAACCTAACAGATATACACAGACTACTCCATATGTATGAATACCTATTTTCTTAAGTGCACACAGCACCGGATATATCACGTTAGGTCAAAAATCTTAAATATTTTAAGAAGAGCAAAAATCATTTTAAGTGTCTTTTCTAATCACAAAGGAATGAAACTAGAAATCAATAACATAAAAAAAAATCACAAATACATGGAAACCAATCAACATGCTCCTGAACAACTATTAGGTCAAAGAGGAAATCAAAGGATGTTTTAAACATATGAAAATGAAAACACAATATCTCAAAACTTATGGCAAAAAAAGTACTAACAGGGAAGTTTATAACAAAAAATTCCTTCATCAAAAAGAAAGATATCAGATAAACAACCTAACTTTACATCTCAAAGAAGTAGAAAAAGAAGAACAAATCCAGCAAAGTAAGCAGAAGGAAGGAACTCATAAAGATCGGAGCAAAAATAAATCAAATAGATAAGAGAACTCCCCTAACCCCCCCAAAAAATCAACGAAACTAAGACTTGGCTTTTTGAAAAAGAAAACAATATCAACAAACTCTTAGCTAGACTAACAAAAGAAGAGAAAAATGTAATTAAAACTAGAAATGAAAAAGGTATTACAATGGGTGCCTCAGAAATAAACGTATTATAAGGAGCTATTATGAACAATTATACACCAACAAATTGAAAAATCTGGAAGGAAGGTGTCAATTCCTAAAAACATGCAACCTTCCAAAACTGAACCAAGAAGAAATAGAAAGCCTGAATAGACCAGTAACAATAATCAGACATCAACCTCATTCCCACTCCTAAAAAGAAAAGCCCAGGTCCAGATGACTTCATGGGTAAATTTTATTAACATGCAAAGAAAAAATAATTGCAACTATTCTTGAATTCTTATAAAAAACAGAAGAGGGAACACTTTCAAACTCATTTTATGAGTCTAGAATCTCCCTAATACCAAAGCCAGATAAAAACACCACAAGAAAGGAAAACTACAGGCCAATATCCCTGATGAACACAGATGTGAAACTCCCCAGTAAAATGCTAGAAAACCCAATTCCACTGCACATTAAAAGAATGGTTCAACAGACACAAATCAGTCAATGCAATTACCCACATTAACAAAATAAAAGAAAACAACAACATGATCATCTTAATAGAGAAAAAAAATTGACAAGTTCAACATTCATTCATGATTAAAACACTCAACAAAATAGGCATAGGAAAACTTATCTCAACACAACAAAGGTAATATATGAAAAGTGCACATTTAACTTTATAATCAATGAGGGGAAAATGGAAAGATTTCCCGGTACAAGTTGACTGATTCAACTTCTTTTTCTTATTGGTCTATTCAGGCTTTCTATTTCTTCTTGATTCAGTTTTGGTAGGTTGCATGTTTTTAGGAATATAACTTGTTCACTCTCACCACTTCTATTCAACATAGTACTGTAAACCCAAGCTGGAGTAATTAAGCAAGAAAAAGAAGCAAAAGGCATGCAAATCAGAAAGGGAGAAGTAAAATTATCTCTGTAGATGATATGATCATATATGTAGAAAACTCTAAGGCCTCAACAAAATAACTGTTGGAATTAATAAAATGAATTCAGTGAAGTTGCAGGATATAAAATTAACATATAAAAGTAGTACCATTTCTATACACAACTATTTTTAAAAGAAAATCAAGAGAACAATATCATTTACAATAGAACCCAAAAGAATAAAATGCTTAGGAATAAACTTAACCAAAGAAGTGAAAGACTTGTACATTGAAAATTATAAAACACTGATGAAGGACATTAAAGAAGACACATATAAGTAGAAGGACAGCCTGTGTTCATGGATTGAAATAATTAATATTATTTAAATGTCTATACTAGCTGGAGTGATCTACAGATTGAATGCAATTCATATAAAAATTCCAATATAATCCTTTACAAAAAAAGAAAAACAATACTAAAATTCATATGGGACCACAATAGAACCTGAATAGCCAAAACAATCTTGAGCAGAGAACAAAGCTGGAAGCATTATATTCTCTGACGTATATCACAAAGCAACAGTAATCAAAACAGTGTGATACTGGCATGAAAACAGACACAAAGATCAATGAAACCAAATAGAGAATCCAGAAATAAATCCGTGCATCTACATTCAACTGATCTTTGACAAGGGTGCCAAGAACACAAAATGGGAAATGGATAGTCTCTTCCATAAATGGTACTGGGAAAACCGAATATTCACATACAGAAGAATGAAACTGAACCCTTATCTCACACCACATTCAAAAAATAACTCAAAATAGATTAAAAACTTAAACATATGATCAAAAACTATGAAATTACTGGAAGAAAACATAGAAGAAAAGCTTCTTGACATTGGTTTGGGCATTGATTCATTGCATATGACCCCAAAGGACAGGTAACAAAAACAAAAATAGACAAATGGGATTGAATCACATTTCTGCACAGCAAAGGACATAATCAACAGAATGAAAAGGTAACATAAGAAATGAGAGAAAATATTTGCAAACCATACATCTCATTGGGGTTAATATCCAAAATATGCAAGAAACTCAACTTAGCAGCACAAAGGAAACCCAAATGACCCAATTTTTAAAATGGGCAAAGGATGTGAATAGACATTTCTCAAAAAAAGACAGAGAAATGGCCAACAGGTATATAAAAAGGTGCTCTAATTCACTACTCCTCAGAAAAATGCAAATCAAAGCAACATATGGGCTGGGCATGGTGGTTCATACCTGTAATCCCAGCACTTTGGGAGGCTAAGGACAGAGGATTGCTTGAGGCCAGGAGTTCTGAGACCGCCTGAGCTGATCTCAACATAGTGAGACCTTGTCCCTACAAGGAAATAAAAAATTAACTGGGCATGGTATTGTGTACCTATAGTTTTAGCTACTCGAGAGGCTGAGGCAGGAAGATTGCTTGAACCCAGGAGTTTGAAGTTACAGTGAGCTATGACCGCACCTCTGCACTCCAGCTTAGGTAACAGAGTAAAAACTGTCTTTAAAAATAAAAAACAAAACAAAAGAAAAACCTACACTGTAATATCACCTTAAACCTATTAAAATGACTATTATCAAAAAGGCAAAAGACAACGCATGTTGGTGGGTATATGGAGAAAAGGAAACCTTGGCACACTTGGTGGGAATGTAAATGGGGGCCATTGTGGAAAACAGAATGGAGGTTCTTCAAATAATGAAAAGTATGGTGTGCATGGTGTGTGGGTGTGGTATGTGTGTGCGTGTGCGATGTGGTGTACATGGTGTGTTTGTGAGTGCATGTGTGTTATGGATTTGTGATGTGTGTGAGGTGCGTGGTATATATGATGTGTGTGCATGGTGTAAGTATGGTGTGTGCACATAGTGTATGTATGGTGTGTATGTGCAGTGTGTGTTGGGTGATCTGTGTGTGTGCATGGTGTATGGTGCGTATGGCGTGTTGTGGGTGTGTGGTGTGTGCGGTATGTGTACACGTACTCTATGTATAGTGTGTGTGTGTGGTACATTGCTGATGGTACATTAAAGAGAATTTAACCCTAATATTGCAGGGGGGGGAAGTCCAGAGGTAATGATTAAAACAGAAAAAAGAAGTAAGAGTTAGAAGGTTATTTAGAGATTTAAAGGTAAATGCTAATAGGATCAGTGTAAAGAGTCAAAGTGTTTGCCTCTGGGGAGAAGGATATTCAGCCTTTTTATAGACATTTTTGACTATGAGCACGTATAAAGTTGATTTTTAAAAGCTAATTAAAAGAATTTTTAAATGTTCCAAAACAGGTTGGAAGGGTACACACTTCATCGTGAGTGTGGCTGAGGGAGACTGCGTTAGAGAAGAGAGGATGACACCCGGAAGCTCCAGGGACTGGGGAAAAGTTAAAATGACAGAATGTTCACAGTTGTTAACTGCAGGTAGTGGGAAAGTTGGTAAGTTGCTTTGGTGTTTCTTCCCTCTGTATTTTTTCATATGTTTAGCATTCCTTAAATTAGCATAATAATGAACTATGTAATTAGCTACAGAGTTGAGGGTGTGGAGCTTACACAGGATAGCTGAGCTACTGGTGTAAAATCAACAGTATTTTAAAAAATGACTATTTATAGGATTAACAGAAAGAGAACACCCTGAACAAGGGATGATAAGAAAGGACCCCAGGGCTCTGTCTCATTCTCCTGGCCACACCTGGAGGACTCACACTTTCAGAGGGTGTTGATGAAGGATATGGAGAGACCTGAAGCTCTGGGCACGGCCTGGTCTGAGAAGAGAAACTCCGCAACACAGGAGCTGAGTGCAGATATGGGAGGGAATAGGGGGCAACTGGCCCAGCAAGGGACCCTTATCATGGCTACATTTGTGAATCATCTTCTTTGTGGGGCACTGCTGTGACTGCACTAAATTTCCACTTACCTAAATCCAATTTTGTGCACTTGTTTTCTACTCTTGTAAGAAAGACAACAGTGATAACCTCAAACCAGTAATCTAGTCAAAAGAGCAGTTCCCAAGCCACGAAATGTGGGGAATTCAGATTCATCAGCACTCACAGAGACTACAGTGATTCCTGATAAGGCCAGCTTAATGCGTGGCCAGCAGCGTGGATCCTGACTGACTCCCACTTTTCTTCTGTGTTTTCAGAACCACAAAAACTGCAGCGTTTTCATTTTTGTTGCTTGTTTCACAGATCTGTATAACTCACTTTTAAAGTCAAAAAGGGTCTTAGTGATGGACAATAAAAGTATAAACTCAGTACAATATAAAATATATCTTTTTCATATACATATGGACATATTTACACTTTTACTCGTTTATGCATATGTATCAGAATTCTTTTTTTTTTTTTAAGATCGAGTCTTGCTCTGTTGCCTAGGCTGGAGTGCAGTGGCTTGACCTTGGCTCACTGCCACCTCTGCCTCCTGGGTTCAAGTGATTCTCCTGCTTCAGCCACTTGAGTAGCTGGGATTACAGGTGTACACCACCACGTCAGGCTAATTTTTGTATTTTTAGTAGAGACGGGGTTTCACCATGTTGGTCAGGCTGGTCTTGAACTCCTGACCTTGTGATCTACCTGCCTTGGCCTCCCAAAGTGCTGGGATTACAGGTGTGAGCCACTGCGCCTGGTCTAGAATTTTTAAAAATGGAAATATTTCAGTCATTAAGCATATCAGCCACCTTTATTAATTTTACTGTACTTATATTAATTATTGAAGCTTAAACTTTACAATAGTGGAGGATAAGTTAAATGTGGCAAAAAGATTACTCCTTTATTATTATTTTTCTTGTTTTTTGAAGTATTTATTTTTTGACACAAGGTCTCACTCTGTTGCCCAGGCTGTAGCGCAGTGGTGTAATCTCAGCTCACTGCAGCCTTAACCTCCTGGGTTCAATGATCCTCTTACCTCAGCCTCCAGAGTAGCTGGGGCTACAGGCGTGCGCCACCACTCCTGTATACTTTTTTGGGTATTTTTTGCAGCGACGATGTCTTGCCATGTTGCCCAGGCTGGTCTTGAACTCTTGTGCTCAAGCAATCCTCCTGCTTTGGCCTCCAAAAGTGCTAGGATTATATGAGTGAGCCACTGCCGGTGCCCTATTGCTTCTTTAAATAAGGGACAAGAGATTTAAAAAGAAAACAGGAAGTACCTTCCCCCTGTGTAACTCAGGAAGCACCTAATTGATCATATTGCGGTAAAGAGGAACCAAATAAACTCTGTGTCTCAAAATATCAGGCGCACTCCTTCTGTGAAATCAAAGTATGTCCATAGCAGTCATCCACTGATACACATGCTTATTTTCCTAAGTGAATTCTCCAGAATTCTGAAAGTCAGTGAAAAGATCATCTCATGTTCGTTCTACACAAAACCAAGCATGGCATGTGGCTGTCCATGTTTCAGGGCATACACATCCCTCTCCACCCGGATCAGTGTGCCTCATGGGACGTTACTTCTTGCCTTTTCAACCAGATTCAGTAAACACACACTGTTTTGCATAGCTGACACAGGATCACACTGATTGCACAAAAGAAGGTTAGTCTGTGGAAGGAAGCTTGGAACGTCAAACGGGGCACGTTAAAGAGGCATAACCCATCACATTGGCTTTTCTACTGTTGAAATGTTTTTCTGGTCAAACACACAGGTACCAGGACTCCCTGAATCCAGCAGGTTAGAACAGAGGAAGGCGGAGGGCGGCCTCCTGCACACCTCTCCTACCCCTGCCAGTTTCCAATCCAGAGTCCAGGGGCTGGAGCATGGGGGCTCCACGTGCTCGCGCTTGGAAGAGGAAACGCCCTCAACCCCCGCTTCTTCCAGGGGCTCCGACCACCTCCCTGGGCTCAGCCCCGGAGCCAGCGGGTGGACGGAGCGGGGTCGCGCCCTGGAACGCGGGAGAAAAGCCCAGCTGGCGGCGCAGGGGCGCCGTCCTGCCCTTCCCACGGCCGTGGCCCGGGCACCCTGGGCCTGCGGGACGGGGGCCGCCCACCCGCCCCGTCCACGCCTGCGTCCCCCGTGCCCGCCCCTCTGCGGAGCGCAGGCGGCCTTGGGCCGGTCCCGGGGCCCCTCGCGCGCTCCCTGGCGCGCTCCAGAGGCGTCAGAGTCCTCCGGGCGGCCACGGCCCGCGGTGGCTCCCACCCTGGCGCCCCTGGGTTGCTCGCCCCACTCTCGGCCTTACGCCCCACTCCTTCCAACCCGAATTTTGCAGCCTCACAACTGGAAGCCTCTGCTGGCTGCAGTCGCTTGGACTGAAACCCGGCAGGCTTTGGGAGCTGGACTCTCCCTCCCAGGGAGGCCGCGGCGGCGGCGAAGTGTGGGGTCTGCCGCCCCCTGCCGGCCTGGATGACGTTCGCGTCTGTGTCCACGCTGCCCAGCAAGGTTCCGGCTGGAACGTTTGGAAGGCAAGGCTGAGAATCAATGCTGTTTGCAAATTCCAGAAAAGAAAAGAAAAGAAAAATGTTGCTCTTCTGTTTAGCAAAGGTTTTCCCAGCCAAGCCAGCACTTCCGTGGGTGGTATTTAAGTCTCAAGTGCGTCAAAGCTGTTGCCTGCATGCACTGGTATTGCCCAAGGGGAAGTTTGAGGACAATGTCTCTGAAAACTCCTGACTCTTGGATGAAGCAACCTTTCCACATTAAGCATGTAGCATAATCTACCAGGTCCTACGATTTACCCATCACGCAAAAGGAGCAAGTCTCTGCAAAACAGGGCTTTCAAAGAGCCTTTTCAGGAGAAGAAAATGTTGGAAGAACTGATTTGTTGTTCACTTTGCATCTAAAAGGAATCCCCTTAAAGATATTTATGGGTATGAATGGTAAATAATGAAAAGGATCAAAATAGGAATGTTTCATCGTTTAACCTGTCCCAGGAAGTGCACTTCAGGCCCTAGACTCTAATGCGAGCTCCGCGATTTCTACCATTCCTTGGCTTTTTTTTGCTTTCAGACTCATCTGTGAATACAGTAGGTGCTCCATAAATCCTTATTCTAGGCACTGCCATTGATACCTGTGGCAGTGACTGCAGATGGGCAGGCTCCTGCAGCGGTAAGGCGTGGGGCTGGAGGGCCTTGGCTCTGGCATTCAGCCCTGCTCCATCCTCCACACTAGCTGCGTGACTTTGGAAAGGTTATGAACCTCTGCTCAACTCTCTGTTGGTAAAATGAGAGTGGTAGTAATAGCACCTCCCTCGCAGAGTTGGAGTGAGGAGTAAATAAGATGCCCTGTGTAAAGAGCCTAGTGTAGTGCCTAGTGTTGCGTAAACCACTCATTGGACAGGGGACTAGTATCCAAAATATACAGGGAACTCAAACATTTCAACAGCAAAAAACCAATTAAAACATGGGCAAATGATCTGAGCAGGCATTTCTCAAAAGAGGACATTACAAATGTCCAATAAATGTATGAAAACATGCTCAACCTCACTAATCTTCAGGGAAATGGAAGTCAAAACCACAATGAGCTATTTGCTCACCCCAGTTAGGATGGTTATTATCAGAAAGACAAAAAATAACCCATGCTGGAGAGGATGCAGAAAAAAAGGGAATTTTTCTACACAGTTGACGGGAATTTAGTACGATCTCTCTGGAGAACAGTATGGAGGTTCCTCGAAAAACTACAAGTAGAAGTAACATGATCCAGCAATCTCACTACTGGCATTTATCTAAATGAAGGAAAATCATTATATCAAAGAGTCATCTGTGGCCCCAGGTTTATCGCAACTGTATTCACAACAGCCAAGACATGGAATCAACCTAGTTGTCTGACCACACATGAATGGATAAAGAAGATGTGGTATATACATACCATGGAATACTATTCAGCCATAAAAAATAATGAAATCTTATAATTTGCTGCAACATGGATGAAGCTAGAGTACATTATGTTAAATAAGCCAGGAGCAGAAAGGTAAACCCTGCAGGTTCTCACTCATAAGTAGCAGCTAAGAGAAGTTGATCTCAAGAAGTAAAAATTAGAACAGAGGATTCTAGAGGCTGAGAAGGATCCCAGGAAGGAAGGGATAGGGAGAGAGTTGTCAAAGGCTAGAAAATTACAGCTTGATAGGAGGAATATGTTCTAGTGTTCTATTCCACTGTAGGATGTCAACAGTAGTCAACAATGATATGGTGAATAGTTTCAAATAACTAAAAGGAGGATGTTGAATGTTCCCAACACAATAATAAATGATAAACATTTGAGAGGATGTATGTGCTAATTACCCTGATTTGATCACTATACATTATATGTATTGAAACATCTTATGTACCTTATAAATATATACAATTATTATTTGTTGATTAAAATTTTTTTTTGAAAACTTGATCTCATATGCTTAGAGTACAATAGTGGTTACCAGAGGCTGAGGAAGGTAGGTGGAGAGGAGAGAGGTTGATCCATGGCTCCAAAATTCCAGCTGGACAGAAAGAATAAGTTCTGGTGTTCTAGTACACACTAGGGTGACTGTAGCTAATAATAACGTATTGTATATTTCAAAATAACTGGAAGAGAAGATTTTGAATTTTCCTACCACAAAGAAAGGATAAATGTTCAAAATGTTAGATATGCTGATTACCCTAATTGAACATTATGCAATGTATCCATGCACTGAAACATCACACTATACCCCTAAGTGTGTACAAGTGCTATGAGTCAATTATAAATGAAATGGAACATTTAAGAAAGAACTTAGTACAGTGCCTAGTATGTAGGCAATAATCAACCAAGTATAGATATTATTATTGTTATTACTCCTCCCAGTAGTAAATTGCAGTGCAGTAGTTAAAAGTAATCACTTAAGACCTAAATATTTGGGTTGGAACCTGGCTCTGCCAATTTCCCTTGGCATACTTTGGGCAAATGAGTTTCAATGTCCTGATCTATAAAATGATAATAATAACAGAGAAAAATCCAGTGATTGCAGCACGGTATAGGCAATTCATAGTGCTGTTTGTGCCTGGCACAGATGGAAAAGCCTACAATAAATCCTAGCTAGTAGTAAAATAAAAGTTGTAAAAAGGGTATGTTTAGATTAGCCACCAGTGCTGAATTGTCCTCTAAAGTAATAATGTCTTTGTCTAATTCCACCTTTCCACCTATTTGCTTATCAGAAGCTGGTTGCTAGGGACTGCCAGAGTGTCTGAACTCAGTAGCACCTTCCCACCTGAAGGTCAAGGGCTATTTGCAGCCCCTGGTGGAACCCTGGTTGCCAACATGGGTCCTTCCACTTAGAGCAGTTCTCAAGCAGTCTTTGATGCAAAGTAATATTGGAAGAATTGCCTCAAGGATGTTCAATGGTAATTACTACTGACTGTGGCCTGGTAGGTAGAAAGGCTACTCAGAGAGACCAAATGCAGTGGCCTTGGTCACTTCTCAGCCTCTATATGTATATTGAAAGTTGGTTTTGCAAAGGAGGTCAAATGAAACTAAACAACCTTTGCAATAATCCATCACTGCTTGTGGATGGGGAAAGGTTCTGGAAGGGACTGGGCTTGAGTTTAGCTATGGGTTGGTGCTCCCTTGCCTACAGATTCTTTCAAAATAATGTCCTTACAACTTACTGAACTGGAATGTCAACTCGGTGGATTCTTTCTTCTCTGGCCACTCTTAAGGGACTTAGGTACTGCTGGATTCAGAGAAGCGCTTTTAAAAATTCAGGAAACCACCTTACCGAACTCTTACACTAAGAACCAGAGGACCTATTCTTTTGTGAAGGTCAAATGATCTTTGAAAAGCTGGGGTGTGGGGAGGCTCCTGTTCTCCACAAATGACATTCTTTTCTTTTCCAAGGGGTCTGGGGCTCCCCAGGTTTTTGGCACATCCTGTCTTCAGTGGCTTACCATGGCCTTTGGGTTAAACTCCACAGTATTTAGCAAGACAGTCTCCCCTGCCCCAATCTAGTTTCCTCTCTCACCCCTCCCCCAATGCTCCTCACCTGCTTATTCCAGTCTAACCAGGTGTCTTAGTCAGCTCGGGCTGCCATCACAAAATACCCCACACCGGAGGTGGATAGGGGAATGGGAGGTTAGACACAGACATTTATTTCTGGCAGTTCTGGAGGCTGGATGTCCAAGATCAAGGTATTGGTAGATGCAGTGTCTGATTAAATCTCTTTCTTTGCTTTTAGACGGCCCAAATCCTCCCTGCACCTTCACATGGCATCTCCTGTCTGCTTGTGCAGGAAGGGAAGGGAAGGGAAGGGTGTGTGTGTGTGTGTAGATTGCTGTCTTCCTCTTTCTATACGAGCACTAATCCCATCATGGGTACCCCACCCTCATGACCTGATGTAACCCTCATCACCTTCTGCCTCCAAATACCAGCACATTGTGAGTCACAGCTTCAGCATATGAATTTTGGGAGGACACCAACATTCAGCCCATAACATCAGGGACTGCAAACTCAGGCACCTTCAGGGGCCAGGCAGGCACAATGACTTCTTGCTGAGAGAAGACAATTTAATATTTTAAACCCAGTCGTTTGTCACTGTCACTCCAGCGGCCACACAAAACCAAGTTCACCGTCCCTGCTCCTCTAAGTCCCCTCTCTTCCCCGCACCCTGGTTCAGCCCAGGGCAGCTCAGACACTCCATCCCCAGCCAGGTGGGGCCAGGGCGCCTCCAACATCCCCAAGCTGGGGATGCTTCCGGCAGGATGACGGGCCTGGAAGACAAGTAACTGGCAGGCCCCGGGGACAAGGTGCCCGACGAATGACGACACGAGCAAACCAGGCCGCATCTGCTCCTCCTGAGGCTGGAGGGGCCCTGTGCTCCCATCACTTCCCTCTCTGCGTCCCCTTATCGGGTGCAACACCTCGACTCCTTCCGGTCTCCTGTCCCGCCCCGCCCTCTTCGTGCTCTGAAGATGGCGGCGCCCTGTACTTCCGGGCGGCAAAAGAGCCCTGAGGAGCCTCATCCGGTTCCTGCTGTGAGGACAGCTGACTCCCTGCCGCCAGCCAACTGCTTTTCCTTTCCCCGCAGGACTGCCTTACCTCGAGTGACAGCCCCACTCTCCTCAGGAACTCACCCTTGGTAACTAACCCCTTCTCTCCTCTTGCCATCTACAGATGCTCTTCTGAAATGCCGCCTCCATTGCCACGGCCTCCAGCTCCCTCAGTCTTGGCTTCATTGCAGACACATTTCTTCAGAGTTATCCTAATATGCTGTTTCCATTTCGTCTCCCACTGACTCTTCAGCCTTGATGCTATGGTCTGAATGTGTCTCTTAAAATTCACGTGTTACAAACTATCTTTTTTTTCTTTTTTTTGAAACCGGGTCTCACTCTGTGGCCCAGGCTGGAGTGCAATGGTGCAATCTCGATTCACTGCAGCCTCGACCTTCTGGTCTCAGGTGATCCTCCCAACTCAGCCTCCCAAATAGCTGGGACTACAAGTGTGTGCTACCACACTCGGCTAATTTTTGTATTTTTGGTAGAGACAGGGTTTCCCCATGTTGCCCAGGCTGGTCTCAAGTTCCTGAGCTCAAGGGACCCACCACTTTGGCCTCCCAAAGTACTGGAATTACAGACTGAACCACTGTGCCCGACCCAACATGGTGCAAACTTAATGCCCCATGCAGCAGTGTTGGGAGATGGGGCCTTTTGGGAATTTACGCCGATTAATGCTGTTTTAAAGGGAGCTTGGGGGAGTGGGTTAGGGCTCTCAGTCTCCTGCTGTGTGAAGACACAATGTTCATCCTCTCCTACCCTCCACCTTCTGCCACGTGAGGACACTGTAATAATTGGCACCTGGATCAGGGGCTTCGAAGCTTCCAGAACTGTGAGAAGATACATTTTTGTCCTGTTTGGGTTACCCAGGCTGTAATCAGGGTAATCCATAAAGGGCTGTGACACTTTGTTACAGCAGCACAAACGAGCTGAGACTTATGGTGTGGCTTCTCTTCCCACCCCTCTACTGACTCGCATCACCAAACTCAGCGAGCATTTTTTAATCCTTAGCTTTCTAAAATGACATCTTGGTAGAGTGGGGTCTGGAGCTCAGACAGTGCTGGTGATTGGGGTTGGGGTTGAGGTTTAGACACTGTTTTAAACTTGGGAGGAGCCTCCTAACCATCCTGACACAACCACTGATTCAACCAGAGGCCAGTGCAGGCTGCCTGGGAGAAAAATACTGAGATGCCAGCATTCTACTGACTACTGAGGTTCAGGGATATAAAATCTGGTACAAATGGGGTGGCTCTGGGCCAAGATCAATTTGTTAGATACAGCCAGGCTTCCTGAGAGAATGTTCCATTAAGGGAAAAAGGAGGTTGGCTGGGCTTGAACAGGCAGCTCTCTCCCTTGGGGTCTCTCATGAGGTTACAGTCAGATGGTGGTACAGCCACAGAAGCAGCTCCATACCACGTGGCTGGCTGTGCTGAGCACTCAGAGGTGTCCCCCAGCACCATGATGTCAGGTTGGAGAGACTACTGGTTTGAGATAGAAGGTGATACGAATGCCAAAAGTCCATTCCAGCCCTCCAGCCACAGTGCCAAAAGCACATCCTTCAGCATGCTTTATGGAAGAAGGATTGCATGTTTATAGTAATTAAATATTGTAAAACTTTTAGTTCTT